AATATAAAATGTGAACCTTAATGTGAACTATGGACTTTAATAATAATACATCAATATTGTTTCATCAATTTTAACATATGTACCACACAAGTGAAAGACGTTAATAATAAGAAGATTGTAAGGGAGAGGGATAAGTAAGAACTTCAGTACTATCACCTTAATTTTTCTGTAAACCTAACAATTTCCTTAAAAATAAAGTCTACTAATTTTTTTAAAAATCATATTTGTCATACTGTTGCTTCTAATAACCACATTGTGAAAACAATCATTGTTCATCAGGAGACTGGCTTAATTGTTATCTCCATTTTAGAAAGTACTGTAGAGCCATTGAAATGAATAGGAGTACTATATCTTTCTTTACAAATAAATCATATCTTGAACAGTCCTTTACAATGTTCATCATGTGTTGTATTTTAACTGAAACTAATGTTAAGTTTGCAAATATTGTGGTAGGTACTCTTTTGGTTAATATTGTGTGAGAGTGCGCATGCACCATTTCTGGAATGATTCGTAGGAACCTATTAATGATAATTACCACTGAGGAGTGAAACTGGAGACTAGTGAATACAAGTGAGACTTATCCTTTAATTTTTTAGCCAAGGTTTGTTTTTAATTTTAAATTGTAATTGTGTTTTTAAAGATGTCCTTCTCTTCTACCCCCATTTGATAGTGGATTTTTCCTTTATTGAGACCTGTATCACAACTTCCTATATTTTCTGTCTCCCTTGCATCCTCTTTGTTTTATTCAAGCTAGCCTTACCCATTCCATATGTTTGCTTTGTATATATTTTCTTACCCGGATTATTAAGATCCAACCAGACTATTTTTTTCTCTCTCTCTGCTGTTATTTACACATGTATTTAACAGGCCGTGTTCAATATATTTGTCTTAGTTTGTGCTGCTATATTAAAAAATAAAATAGAACTCATAGACTGAGGGGCTTAAACTGTCAGCCCAACCTTTTTGGCACCAGGGACTGGTTTCAGAAGAGAATTTTTCTGCCGACTGGAGTGGGGATGGTTTTGGCATGATTCAAATGCATTACATTCATCATTAGATTCTCATATGGAGTATGCAACCTAGATCCCTCGTATGCACAGTTCACGAAATGGCTTATGCTCCTGTTAGAATCTCATGCTGCCACTGATCTGACAGGAGGTGGAGCTCAGGTGGTGTTGCTTGCACACCTGCCGCTCATCTCCTGCTGTGTGGCCAGGCGATGGACTGGTACTTGTCCAGGGCCCCGGGGGCTGAGGACCCCTGGCTTAAAGAACAGACATTTATTGCTCTGGAGACTGGAAAGTTCAAGATAAAGTTGCTAGCAGATTTGATGGCCATATTCTTGCTCTGTCCTTTCGTGGCAGAAAGAGAGCTAGTTCTGGTCTCTTCTCTTCTTATAAGGACACTAATTTCATCATCAGGGCCTCATCTTCATAAACTCATCCAATTGAATTACCTCCCAAAGACCCTACCTCCAAAACCATCACATCGGGGTTAGTACTCCAACATACAAATTTTGGAGTGTGTGGAGACACAAATAATCAGTTCATAATAATAATAAAGGTTCAAAAATCCTCAGCCAAAATCCTTGGATCAAACGTAGTATAAAATTTAGAATTTTTCATTTTTCAGAATATATGTATATATTACATATTAAATAATACCCTCTGAAAGAACCCAGAGCAGCAGCCCTCTTACCCTCTTTTGAGCACATTAATAGTTCTGCAGTGAATATATATTAATAAATATTCACAGTTGGTTACTTTTAAAAGACCCATGTTAGTTTAAGCGAGATTTAATCAACAAATGAGTTAGGAAAAAAAATTTGATTTCTAGAACATTTTAGATTTCAGAATTATGGATAAGTGATTACAGACCTATGTAACGTTTTTTTTTCATTTGAGACATAATTTACCATGAAATTCACCCTTTTAAAGTGTATATTGCAGTGATTTTTAGTATATTCACAAGATTGTGCAGCTATCACCATCTAATGTCAGAAAATTTTATTCCCTTAACAAAAAAACCTGTACCCATGAGCAGTCTGCCCCATTCTCCCAGTCCGTGGCAATGACTGATCTTTCTATCTCTATGGATTTGTCTTTTCTAGACATTTCATATAAATGGAATCATTCAATATGTAGTATTTTCTGTCTTCATTTAGCATAAATGTTTTTAATGATTCATTCATGTGCATATAGCATTATTTCATTCTTTTTTATGGCTGAATAATATTCCATTGTATGGATATACCACATTTTGTTTATCAGTTTATCAACTCATGGACATTTGGGTTTTCATTTTTTAGTATTATGAAAAATGCTGCTGTGAACATTTGTACACAAATTTTTGTGTGGATAGATGTCTTCAGTTCTGTTTGGTATATACCAAAGACTGGAATTGCTGGGTGATACGATAACTATATTTAACTTTTTGAGGAATTGTCAAGGCTGTTTTTTAAAGCATCTACACCATTTTACATTCCCACCGAACTCTATGAGAGTTCCCATTTCTCCATAGCCTTATAAACACTTGTTAATTTTTTTTTGTTTATAGACATCCTAGTGAGCATGAAGTAGTTTGGCTCACATTTCTCTGGTTCACATTGTGGGTTTGATTTGTATTTCTCTAGTGAATGATATTGAGCATCTCTTCAGGTGCTTATTGGCCAGTTGTATATTTCCTTTAAAGAAATACATATTCAGATCCTTTGCCCATTTTTCAATTGGATTGTATTCTTCTTCTTAAGGTGTAGGAGTTCTTTATATTCACAAAACAAATATTTTCTCCTATTCCGTGGGTTGGTTTTTCACTTTGCTGATAGTATCTTTTGAAGCAAGAGAATTTTTAATTTAGATGAAGTCCAATTTTTTTTCTGTTGCTTGTGCTTTAGGTATCTTATCTAGAAAATCATAGCCTAATCCAAAGGTCACAAAGAGTTACACCTGTTTTCTGTTAAGGGTTTTTATAGTTTATTAGCTCTTACATTTGGGTCTTTGGTCTGGTTTGAATTTTTATATGCTGTGAGGTAAGGATACAAGTTCTTTTGTATGTGGGTATCTACTTGTCCCAGTACTATTTGTTAAAAAGGCTCTTCTTTCCCCGTTGATTTTTCTTGTAATCTGCTTTTACAGAGGAGAAAATGTTCAGAAGTTCTTATTCTGTTTTTATTGACGTTACCTCTATAGTTTAATTTTTATTTCAAAATTGGCATTATAGCTAGACCATAATATGTAGCATTTAGGTCACCCCAATGTGGTCATCACTGATATGATTCTGTAACTACTAATTTAAGTTCTAGTATTTAAATATGTATAGTTTTCTTGGTCTTTATAAAGTATTTATGTTTTTTACATTTGTTCTGTATTCTGTTAAGTCACTGATTAAGCAGTCTAACTCTGGGTCAGTCATCTCTACAGATTGGGAAGATAGCTAAGACGGTTGTTTTTTTTTTTTTAGCTTTTTCTTTTTTTTTTTTTTTTTTTTGCCAAAATGGACATCAAAGGAAGGGAATCTTAACTTCAAATCCTGTTTCCATATCATGTTCTCCTACTACTAATTGGCACTTGGTAGTTATACTGCCTCATGCTACAAACTATTTTTTGTTAACAGCTATTAGGAAGGAATATTTTTCACTTGAGAATCCTAAGTATAAGTCTGTCTTGCCTTTTGGTTCACCACAGTACCAAATATAGGTGCCTGAATCTAGTAGAAAAAAAAGATTAACTCCTTTATACCCTCTACTAATGAACATTTGTTACTATAAAGGAGTCACTGCAAAATCTTTTGCAATGAAACCCTTTTTAAATAATGAATTCTCTTGCAGAATCCCAGCATGAAAAATAGTACATGCAATATCACTCTGTTTTCAAGAGATGACTATAGCCTTCTTGGTCCCCTCTTGTTGTCAACTCTCTCCTTCCCAGTGAACCCCAAAGGCACCCTGCCATAACTGAAGAATTCCCCAGAGTGCAGGTCTAAAATTACTTCCAAAAATCATCTTTTCAGGCTAGGTAGGCTCATGCATTACTTCTTTTATTCTCTCAGGATTCTAAAATTTACTTCAACAGTCATGTGAAATAAGATGAAAAAATCTCCCTGCCATTCATGATTTCATAACATTCATTGATCTCTTTATATCAATTCCAGTTAAAGGAGGAGCCCCACACACTTAACTGTGCTTACTGGGACTCTTCTTTTTGGGTCTGGTCTTGACAACTCTTTAGCCCAGTTGTCCCTGGAACTTGGGGAAGATTTTGAGGGAAAAAGAGCTTAGGTTTTTCTTAATATAGATTTCACCCCTTTTATACTCTGAAACTTTTCATTAGAAACTCAGTTATAATATTTTTCTTCCTCTTTTTCTACCAGCTTTAATATAAAGTTCATACAATTGGGAGAAATGTGTTCCGCTACTTAAAGTGCTTAGGACTTTTTTCCACAGAAACATTGTTTTACATGACAATTTTTTCAGTGTTGTTAGTACTCTGTTTCAGGAATAGTATCACTTGTACAGGCTTTTATGGATTGTTATACAATTTAACCACTATATATATCATTTATATATATTATTACTTCTATGGGAAAATGTTCTAAATTTTCTATTTTAACTAACAGGGTAATATAGCCTGCATTTCATGGTTTTGGGGTGTGTGTGTGTGTCTGTTAGTCATAATGTACTTTTCAGTCAACATTAAAGTCTCACTTCAGTGTAGTGGAATAAAAACTTTGTATTTGGTCTAACAAAGAGTTTCATTTGTTTACTTATTAGTGAAGACTTTTCAAATGCTTTGTCTCTTTTATGTACATGTTCTCAATCAAATAGTCTCATAATGAAAATTCAGGTATAAATGCCTGGAATTGTATACTAAATTAAAATGTATCTTAGATTGTTTTTGTTAGATCTTTGTCATATTCTAGCAACTCATATTGAATATAATGGTTTTGTGCTTTTAATATCAACTTTTAGAACTATATTTTAATGAATATATTTTTGCTTTTAGATCATCTGGGGAATATTTTTCATCTTAGTTGCATTACTGTTTGTAATTTCTCTCTTCTTGTCAAAGTAAGTACAGTAGACACATTTTCTAAAGCACTTATGCAAATTCTGTGATAATATACATTTTGTTGCTGAATGCCATTAGTGTAGGCTATTCATCTTAAGTAGTTTTCTTACTTGAAGTGGTCTATAGCATTAACTCAAAGAATGGCTAAAACGTCCAATAATAGAATGTTTCTTTATTCTCCATCAATTGAACAATAGCTGTGAGATATTTAAGTGAGATTTAATTTGTTATCCATTGTTTTCTTTGACTTAGATGTATTTGCATGCTTAAATTATGATATTTTTTCTAAATTTGCTGAAAATTTGGTAGTATAACATAAATTTCATTATAATTTTTTTAGTTTAGATAAAGCTCTTCATTCAGCTGGAATAGATTCTGGTTTCATAATTTTTGGAGCAAACCTGAGTAATCCACTGAATATGCTTTTGCCTTTACTACAAACAGTAAGTAAAATATCAATCATTTTATACTGTAGCTGCTAGAGTATAAAATGCTAGAGTCTAGCAAACATTCTGACATCCTGTTCCACATAAAATTATTATGCTAAAAACCTATTAATAGTTTGACATATGCTTATGTTATTTTCTAGTTTTACTTTTTATTTGCCTGTAGTTTATACATTGACATGTTGCTTTAAATATTATTATATTGATATATTCCTAGACTTTTATGTTATACATAATTTGACTTGGGATATATTACATAACATGAGGTGACCCTCTCCAAATTATTTTTGATATTAATATTTAATCAAGTCTTTTATCTCATCAATAAATGCAATTTTAGTTTAATTTGCTTGAGGATTTTTCTTAGTATAATGGTATTAAAAATTTTGGTAATAGTTTGGTACTTGTTTGTTTTTTGAGGATTTTTTTTTAAACACAGTAGCCTAATTTAAATCAAGGTTGATATTGTAAATATTTGCCAAATGGGAATAATGTTTTTAGTTTACTTTATATGACTGTTAGAGTGCTTATAGTTTGTATGTTAAATTTAATTTCATCTTTTTTTTCAGGTTTTCCCTCTTGATTATATTCTTATAACAATTATTATTATGTACTTTATTTTTACTTCAATGGCAGGAATTCGAAATATTGGCATATGGTTCTTTTGGATTAGAGTAAGTATATATTACAGTATTTTTTTCTCATTTTGTGTGTAATCTCCATTATTGCAAATTATCTTAGATTTAGAATATAGTAGCTGTATCTTTATACCACAAGTGAGAGAAATACTAGCCTTTTCACTTCATGTTGACATAAGAGTACTTTTTATCTAGAGCAGTGGTTCTTAAACGGGGTGATTTTGCCCCCCCGGAAACATTTGGCAATATCTAGAGACATTTTTAGTTGTTATAATTGGGGAGTGCTAGTGGCATGTATTGGGTAGGGGCCAGAGATTCTATTAAAAATCCTGTAGTGCATAGGGCAGACTTATCTAGCCTAAAATGTCAGTAGTTCCATGGTTGAGAAACCCTGGTCCAAAAGTTATATTATTTCTTAGTAGAAACACATTCGAATATAATAGATACACTGAAGCTCAAAAGATAGCCCTCTCTATTAGTAAAGATTACCGTATCATTGGTTATTTTCTTCAAATGCTTATTTTGCGTAAATTAACAATTTTAAAATGAAGCTGTATCAGGTAGACACTACTTCCACTACTGTGGGTAGTGACACTACTTCCACTACTTTTACCCACTACTGTGGGTAAAAGAGATCTCAGTTAAATAGTGGCTTGAACTAATGAAAGATTTCTTGCTATGGAAAAAAGAAGCTAGTATTGCTTCAGTAGCTCAAAAAGTCGGATCCAATATCTCTGTAATTCTTCGAGTATCTCTGTCGTGATTGTAGTATGGCTGCTGCAGTTCCTTTTATCCTGTTCATATTCTGTGAAGAAAAAGGTAGTTAGGAGAAAGGGGTATACAATTATATCAATAAAACAAGACTTTTACAGAAATCCCTAACAGACTTCTGCTTTGCTTTTCATATTTAGTATTTTATCACATGGCCACTACTGGCTATGAAAGAACCTGGGAAATGTAAATTTATAAATGGTCTTATTGTCATCCCATCTGGAATTGGAGTCTGTACTACAATCTAGTAATAAAACAGGGAGGTGATACCTAAGTTGCTAAAATAAAAGCATGCTATGGTATTGAAATGAAGCAAGTTACCTGGTTCCTTATATTTCTGTTACCATGTATTTTCATTTCCCTTTAGTATAGATAAATGTGGAAAGCTCTTTAGTAAGATTATCAGAATTTTTCATAAACTAATTTTTATAGCAAAGTATAAGGATGTCATGAGTATTTCATAGAAATGGATGTTTATAAACACATGACATTGTCTATTCTTATACAGTATTATATAAAAAGTTATATAAAACCATAGTATATTACTGATACTTATAGTTTAAATTCATAGTTCTAATCTTTAGATAGAACTAGAGGTAGTTTACAATTAGCTCCATGAATTTCTAACAGATACTGTTACACAGTAAGTTTAGAAGATTTCTTTGGAAATAGACCATGTGAATTATCTTAAAATTACTTGGGATGATTAAGAATTTTTAGTATTTACTTTGGAAGAAAAATAATGGTTGACTGAACTGTGTAAATCATTTCCCATAACACAAGAACAGTATTTAATGCTTTACAAATGAAGTATTTTGCTGAAATTTTGTCACTCTTTTCTTTCCAGTTATATAAAATCAGAAGAGGTAGAACCAGGCCCCAAGCACTCCTTTTTCTCTGCATGATACTTCTGCTTATTGTCCTTCACACTAGCTATATGATTTATAGTCTTGCTCCCCAATATGTTATGTATGGAAGCCAAAATTACTTAATGGAGGTAAGTGAAATACTTAAAACTTGATTATTTTGATATTTTAAAGATAGTGATATTTAAAATCAAATTTTAATTGTGATGGTTAGCATATTAGCTCATCAGATTAAATTTAATATTGCTAAAACTGGTTTTTTATTTCTATTTTTAGCATGTTTATATTTGTTTCATACTGTTGTTTTTTTGAAACAACACACAGAATTTCATTACAATAGTTCCTTAAATGGGCCCTGTGATGCTAAGCTACTGAGCTTTACGTTAGTACTTCATTAAAACTCATAATACTTCCTCTAAAATAACATTTTAACTAATTTTAATAATGTGGCTCCCAAAGAACATTTTGGTGAGCACAGCATGTCCGTTCATTGGCACTATGAATCCCCTAGAAGAGGCTTTATAAATGTTTTATATGTAGATAACTATACATTCTTTTAACGTGATAGGTATCCTCATATGCTGATTTATTGATGTTGTTGAGCTCTCAAAAGCCACTTGTGACTTTTAGTTTTAATGGAACAGTGTTTGGATTTTCTGACGATTCAAAATATTCTGACCAAATCTGATTCAAACTTTGTTTAGTTTGTTTCCTTTTTTTTAAATACCTTTTGCTCTACTTCTTAACTGTTCAAACCATATTTATGTTTCAGGGCCTGATCAAGCATTGCTTTAGTGGAGTCTTTCATTATTAAATCATTGTGCCCAGATCACTTCTTTTTTATCCTGCACTTCCTTCATTCTTTCTTTACTTTAACATGCAATTAGAAAGAAAAATCTAACAAACATATCCACCTTCAATCAGTACCCTCGATAATATTGATGAGTGTTAAAAGGCTTTTTCATTGAAAAATGTTTACTTATAATGCAGGTGAAACAGATAAAGCACAGATCATGATGGAGGTACATGAATGACCTGAGTTTGGGAAACACCATGCTGGAAAATCACCTGAACCATATTTCTCACTTCTTATACCTTTTGATTCTCTTCTTGCCCAATCATCCCCTTCACCTACCTCACTAGGTTATGCTTATTAAACATCCTCCTGTGAAGGAATGAAGGAAGACTATGCTTTTGCTTGGACAAAAGATATTCTTTGCATGTTTCACAGTCTGAAAATAGCATTCTTTTCAGATGCTCTACTTTGTACTTAAAATGGAATTTGTTCTGGGAAGAAACCCTGTTGTTCAACACAGGACCTAAAGGATTATTATTGCGAAAAGCCTTAATGTTTGATTTACCATAATTAATTTTTCTTCTAAGAACAATGCTACATAAAATTTACATTTTGGAATGTTAGATAGATGTAGTTAGTATATGGAGTATACAGTTCATAGTGATTACTTTTTAAATCCAAATGTATTTATTAATGTGGTTTTTACATTTTAACTATATTTTTATCTTTCAGACTAATATAACTTCTGATAACCATAAAGGCAATTCAACCCTTTCTGTGCCAAAGAGATGTGATGCAGATGCTCCTGAAGGTAAAAGCAACTTGTTTTAGAACTTACAACTTTGTAGGAAAAGAATTTCCTGGCATTTTGCTGTGTTAATCATTTGATGCATTTGTTTTGCTACGTGGTAAGAAGGAAACTTTCAGCAAGTAGAGGTTGGCAAATCTCTTCAATAGAATTTCTTGTTAATGAAAGGATTTGCATTAGAGAAAGAACCATTAAAATTACTTAGGAAGTAACAAAATGTAGTTATTATTTATCACATTTACTAGTATAATAAGAAATCCCTCTTAAATGATTTTTTTTTTCCTTAAAAACATAAAGGAGTTTGGTGGAATCTACAATTTTTAGTACCAAGACCAAAAGTACTTATGACCTAGAACAATTTTTAATTCATCCATGTCTGGTTATTTAATTTAATAATAATAGTATTAGTTATAATAGCAGTTAACTTTAAAGATACACAGTTGTGCTGGGCGCGGTGGCTCAAGCCTGTAATCCTAGCACTTTGGGAGGCCGAGACGGGCGGATCATGAGGTCAGGAGAAGTCGCCATGTTCGGCTAAACGCGCGCGGTGGAACCCCGGGTCGTTACTAAAAAAAATACAAAAAATTAGCCGGGCGACGCGGGGTGGCTGTAGTCCAGTACTCAGGAGGCTGAGGCAGGGAGAATGGCGTAAACTGGGAGGCGGAGCTTGCAGTGAGCTGAGATCCGGCCACTGCATTCTAGCCTGGGGACAGAGCGATGATCTGTCTCCAAAAAAAAAAAAAAAAAAAATATATATAGTATACTATATATACACACAAACCACACACACACATAATAACAGTTGTTTTCAAGGCACTGTGTTAATTACTTATAGTGTGTACTTGACAAAAATTCTGTGCTCTTAACCCCTGTGTAGTTTTAGAATATCTTTTTTTTTTTACTATGTGAGTTGTTTAGGTGATTTTTTCTTTGAATGTTATAGTATTCATTTCTGATTAAGGATTCCTGATTTATTCTTTCAAAATTTGTAAAAGTGTTTTCTATGCTTGCCTTCAATGCTTTTATTTTGTGGTAAAGTAATGTGTTAAATATTGTATGTTTCTACATGAATCATTCATGAATACCATTATGAAAAACACAAATTCTGAGGTTTTTTTTTTGTTTTTGAGATGGAGTCTCGCTCTGTCGCCCAGGCTGGAGTACAGTGGCGCGATCTTGGCTCACTACAAGCTCCACCTCCCAGGTTCACGCCATTCTCCTGCCTCAGCCTCCCGAGTAGCTGGGACTACAGGTACCCGCCACCCTGCCCGGCTAATTTTTTGTATTTTTAGTACAGACGGGGTTTCACCATGTTAGCCAAGATGGTTTCGATCTCCTGACCTCGTGATCCGCCCGCCTTGGCCTCCCAAAGTGCTGGGATTATAGGCGTGAGCCACCGCGCCTGGCCAATTCTGAGTTTTTTATAGCAGGGTCAACTATGTAATGTAATAGAGTATTAGGAACAAGTACAAGGTACAGGGATAGGCCAGAGGAAGACACAATTAACTCTGCCTTGTGGGGATCACTGTGGAGTAGTAGTCAAAAAAGAAACTTTTCAGAAAAGAGATATCAGAGCTACATTTTAAGGTATCTGGTATGCACATCAAGGGAAGGCTGTTCTAGCCAGAAGAATAAAGTGTACAAACAATTACCTTAAATTGCACAGGCGTGTGTTCAAGAACATTGGTTTTGTTTGGGGATTGGAGGGAGGAAGGCAGAGTCATGAGTCAGATCATAAAAGGTTTTAGAAAGTGACGAAAGAGGTAATGAAGTGTTTCAAGCAAGAAAGTAGAAGTTATGATCTGATTTCTTTTCAGTAAGTTAATTATAGCGGTTATAGAGATAATGGATTTGAGAAATTGAGACCAGATTATGGAAATCACTTAGGGGAGGGAGAGCTATCTAAAATAATCCAAGAGAATTGAAAGCCTGATCTGAACAGTGGTCATGAGGGTGTGAAATAAAGAAATTTAAGGAGTAAATTGAAAGAATTTCTGATTAGTTGTAGAGCAATGGTGAGAGAAACAGAAGATTCTAGAATGATACTCCAGTTACTGAGTACTTTGATTAATTTTGGTGTTACCAGCTGAGGTAAAAAATACATTGGGAGGCCAAGGCAGGCGGATCACCTGAGGTCAGGAGTTTGAGATCAGCCTGGCCAACATGGCGAAACTCTGTCTCTACTAAAAATACAAAAACTAGCTGAGTGTGGTGGTACATCCCAGTAATCCCAGCTACTTGGGAGGCTGAGGCAGGAGAATCGCTTGAACCTGGGAGGCGGAAGTTGCAGTGAGCCGAGATTGTGCCACTGCACTCCGACCCAGGCAGGCGACAGGACAAGACTCTGTCTCAGAAAAAAAAAAAAGTACTGAGATTAGAAAAATTGTAAAAAAATGATTAGTTAACTTGAGATGTCTCAAAATTGTTCAGGTGGAGGTCTCATAAGCAGTTGGGTATACAGTTAGACCTCCATATTCATCGGTTCCAGATCCATAGATTCAACCAACTTTGGGTCAGAAATAATTTGGGAAAAAATAAAATAAAAGATAACCAAGCAACAATTTTAAAAAAAACACAAAAAGCAATACAAGTATAACAACTATTCACATAGTATTTACATTGTATTAGTGTTACATTGTATTAGTGTTATAAGTAATCTAGAGATAATTTAAAAGATGTGGGATGGTGTGTATAAGTACATCATTTTATGTAAGGGACTTGAGCATTCGTGGATTTTGGTTTCCAACAGAGTCCTGGAACCAATCCCTCAGGGGTACATGTGAGTTCCTGTATAGGTGAGAAACTGAGAGGGTAAAGAGTGAGAAGAGAATGGACACTGGAACCCAGGATAATCATTGTTTAAGGGCAAGCTGATAAGGAAGGTACAGAGATGAAGGCTGAAAAAAGAGAAAAAATTTAATGTTAGAGATAAAAATTCCTTGAAGAAGATGTGCAGGGTCAAGAACTTTTTTTTTTATTTTAGTTAGGAGAGACTTCGGGGATAATGGGATGGAACTAGTGGAGCAGGAAAGATTGAAGAAAAATGTCAGAAAGGATGAATGATGGACCAATATCATCCAATTCTGGGGGATATGGTATTAAGAATATCCAGGACAGAATGCTTTAGATAGAATGAGGGATATTTCTTTCTGTACATTGCAAAGAAGGAAGCAAGGATATGGCCTCAGATGGTAACTTGTTACTATCTGAGGGTAGACGAGAAGTGGCATATCTGTATAATTGTCTCAACTGGCTATAAAGGATGAGCTCAGGTCATATACTGAGAATTAAGCAGGCTGTGGGGTAGACAGTTAATGAAAGTAGCAAAAGCTTTTGATAGCCTGTGAAGGGGATTAGGAGAGGATCTAACTGAAGGTAAGTTAACGATAGGTAAATATGTCAATGGACAGAGGTGAAATTATCAATTTTATATTTTTATTGAACAAGTCTACACAACTTGTATAATTTTTCTCCATTAGTTCTTAGGTTGTTTGGGGGAAGGAATGGATTGAAGAACTGAAGTAGAATTGGGGATTTAAGGATGGAAAACAAAGGACAAGTTGAGGTTAGAAAATAAACAGTGACCACAGAGTCCAGGATTTGTAGGGCAATAAGGGAAGAGACTAAAACTGAAGGAAAGGATTAAAATAAAGAGATGAGATGGGTAAACATCTGATGGGGATAACTTTATTTTGCCTGAAGAAATAATAGTAAAATGTTGTTCGTATAAATAAATACAACAGAATTTTCCAGTTCTACTTAATGATGTTAGTTCAAGATTTTTTACTTTGAAATGTATATGTACATCACAAGTAGGGTCGATAGTTGAAGTGCCTTGGGTTGCCATATAGCTGGATGAAAACAGATTGAAAAATTAGTGTTTAATTGGTTTGTAATTTGTTTTTAACCAAGGAGTCAATGACCTTGAAGATCTAAAATACATTCTGTTGTTCAAATTGTTACAGTAGTATTGAAATAACAGCCGTAAAACAAAAACAAATTGTAGTTTCAAAATTATGTTGAACTGATAACGGGGCCTTTAAAATGCCCCGATACTACTGGAGTGAATTTTTTATATTATAGGTCAGTAAGATTTAATCAAATAATACACTTGACTGTAACTTTTTTATGAATCACATTATTTTTCAGTCTAATCTAATTTACAGTAGTTAAAAATGATTCCCTTTGAACTACTGAATATTTTTTCTTAAACATTTTAGTTGACTCATTCTTTGAAATGTTATTTTGCAGTACAAAAGCATACCCTTTAGTTTTATGGGTTTATCTTTCCCAACTTTGTTTTGTTCTGTAGCACATCTCTAAATGTTAAATTTGCCAGTACGTAACTTAGAAGAGGATGGTAGAAATATAACTAAATTTGGGGAGGCAGGGTAGTTTTTTAAGTGAATAATAATGATAGAGACAGATAAGTAGATTAAGACATTGGATTTAGACACATAAGGGTAGGGATGGGGTGGCATCCCTACCCTTAGGGTGAGGGATGGTGAGGGACTTGTATAGCCGTATACACTATTCTTTACAACATATTTAGTGACAACATTTGACTAGAGTAAATGATATAATAAATAACTCATAAGGCATTTGATGTCACCTTTGCAATGTGTCTGTTGCAAGTAACAGAATTTTAGAGAATGATTTTTAGATTTAAAAATTTAAATTTTCAGTGTTATAATGAAAGTTCTTTCTGAGAAAAGTTAATCTCCCTGGAGAGATATTAAAGCAGTAATTTCTAAAAATATGTATGTTGCTGTCTTATTAATATTAAACATATTTTAGACTTTTAAAATTAATATTTTGTTTATATATGAGGCAATCTGACATTTATTCAACATAGAAAATATTGCTGGAATCCTAGTTGTGTTTAAAATGATTAGGTTTCAAATGAGAGTCATTTATCTAAAAATAATTTAAGTACTTTGTGTTTAAAATAATCCGTTAAAGAATAGAATAATTTAGTAATAATCCTATAAAGAATGGTATCT